TGAAGGGGGCAGAGTTGACACTGGATCTCTGTAACACACAACCAATCAGAGGGTTCCTCTGTGGCTGGGAGTGCATGCAGCTCAGGGGTAGACAGTCTGCTTAGTTAACAGGATGCCCTGCAACTACAAACAACTTCAAAAATCAAAACAAGTGTGAGAAGGGCAGTGCGCCCTGTTCGGTGCCAGCTCTCCTCAGACAGCAACAATGTTTAAATAGCCACACATGGGAATGGCTGCACCCTGTCCCGGGTTTTGCTAACAACACTAAGTCTGGGTCCAAAGACCCAGGAGAGAAAGCTGTTGAGGACTGGCCAGCCAACTGGCAGAGGGATTCTCCCAGTGTGGCCAAGGCAACTCCCAAAGGAAGAGATTCTGAGTGGATTCTAGAGGGTGCCCCCATGTGAGATAACTTGCTCACCCTTTCCCTGGCTCATAAAATCCTCTCACATCTGTATGGCTAGCAAATTAACCTTGTTACTTTTCTTTTCTCAAGATTATCTATGTATCTAATACAGTGTTCTGTCTGCATGTGTCCTTGCAGACACCGGATCTTATCATAGATGGTTGTGAGCCACCATTGGTTGCTGGGAATTAAACTTAGGACATCTGGAAGAGCAGCAAGTGCTGTTAACCTCTGAGCCACCTCTCCAGCATCTAACCTTGCTTCTTAATTCCTTTAAAAAGTGATTATTCAGGCACGGTGGTGCACACCTTGAGTCCCAACACTTGGGAGACAGAAGAAGGTAGATCTTTATGAGTTTAAGGCCAGCCTGATCTACGTGGTGAGTTCTAGGACAGCCAAGACTACAAGGCAAAAGTCTGTCTCAAAAGCTGAAGCTCAAAAAAGGTAAACATGTAAATTAAATGAGCACAAACATACTGCTATTCATAGTGCATGTAATTCCAAGAACATTACAGAGAAAAGTATTAAGAATACAGGTAATATATATCTTAGTTCCTAGAATATAACCATTTATAATGATTTGGAAAGAAAACAGAATATTAAATGTATATTGAAAATTTTTATTCCTGGCAATAAGATACATATCTGTACAAATACAAATTTTTAAAAGATTTATTGTATTTTTTTTTTTTTGAGACAGGGTCTCTCTGTAGTTTTTGGTGCCTGTCCTGGAACTAGCTCCTGTAGACCAGGCTGGCCTCGAACTCACAGAGATCCGCCTTCCTCTGCCTCCCGAGTGCTCGGATTAAAGGAGTGCGCCACCACCGCCAGGCCTGATTTATTATATTTTCGATTGGCCTTTATTCCCAGCTATTGGGAGGCAGGTCAGGGGGATTTCTGTGAGTTCAGGGGCAGCCTGGTCTATATAATGAATTCAAGGCCAGCTAGCCAGGTAAGGCCTCCCTCTCAAAAATATAAAAAGATTTTATTTATATGTGTATATGCACATGTACGCAGATTTAGTGTGTGTGTGTGTGTGTGTGTGTGTGTGTGTGTGTGTGTGTGTGTACATAATGTGCCCAAGTGCCCGCACAGCCTAGAAGGGATATCAGATCCCTAGAGCTGCAGTTACAGCTGTGGGTGCTGTGGTCTGAACCCTGGTTCTCTGTACGAGCAGCAGGCTCTCTCCAGCCCCCAGCCACAATGCTGTATTACTTAATTGAGTTTTTTAAAAAAGGCTTCATTAAACGCTATTCTGGACAGTCTGGGGTTGTAAGGTGAAAACACAGCTTCTTTCCATGAGTATTTGACGCTAGAATTCTTGATACTCATGCACTATTAGGACTGAAAGTAGAAAGCTGAGATTCCCCTCAAAGACACCAGCTCCATTATTCCAACATTCCTTATTTGGTTAAACCCTTAAATTAATTTCCTTCATAAAGACTTGGCTTAAGTCTGCCCAGCCCAGTTCACTTGGGCAATGTGAGCTTAAGCTTCCATCACTGCAGCATCCACACTGGTGGTCTGGGCTCTGTCATTTGCTTTGGTCGTGGGTCTGTGAAATGACAGCACAGGTATTTTTTTCCATAGGAAACACCTCAGGCTGTCTTGCCTTACTGAACCCAGGTCAGACACTCTGAAAATGGAATTTCAACAGCAATCAAATGAGCAAATTAAGAGTCTTCCTGGTTTGAGAAAAAGGCAAAAGGGAGCACGGCTGGGCACGGGGGTCTCTGTTGTAATTTACCGAATTCACACTACGAGGAGAATCCGCTAAATGAATTGCTAATATAAAAGCTGTTTCAAAGGGAGCGTTAAACCTTCTGAAGCATAGTCGACGGCACGCACCTGCTGATACCCAAGGATGGAGATGCTAAGAGCGCAACCCATCCTCACCAAATCATTACAGAAGCCAGTGAGACTCCCAACTGCAGCCTGATTGAAGCTGCCGTCTCTCCTCTGTTCTAACAGTTCCCCGTGAATGTCCTCGGAAAGCTTAAGGACTCCCAACAGTGGTGCAGAATGAGTCACGTTTTCTATCATATTCATGGAAGTGCTCAATTTTAATCCTATAAATCTGAATAGAACAGATAAGTATCTGGGCTCCGAGAGTACCAGTCTAAGTCTGCACACCACCAGCCACACATGTGCAGGCTACTCCGTATCAGGAAGACAGTACCAGGAGAGGCAGAACCCAAGGGAAGGCAGCTAGCTCATCCACCAGGTAAAAGAAGCAATGTTGGAAGCAAAGCCAAAAAACAAAACAAAACACGCAACTTCTATGTAAATTTACGTTCAAACAAAATGTTAATTGTGAGAAATCTTATCATCATTAAAACCCACTGCTGCTGTTTAATTTGAAAGTAGTAAAAGTGCTTTCTTCTAATCATCTTATACTTTCTCATTAACTTGGATAAACAACCCACCTCCTACCTTTGACAACAGGACTGTCAAACTTGACTCAAGGGCCATTCTTAGGCTTACAACACAGCTTTTGTTTCATAGTTGTTAACTATTTTCTGTACTATAGACAGTTCCTATCTTACCTTATAGTAGCCTCACAACATACATTTATGCTCAAACACACCTTTTAAACTTTAAACAGCCATGCAGATAATTTGTGGGGCAGGAGTGTGATTTTTTTGTTTGCTTTTCAAAACACGTTTTTTTCTGTGAAACCCTGGCTGATATGGATCTCTCTGGAGACTAGACTGATCTCAAATTCAGAGATCCACTAGCCTCTGCCTCACCACCAGGCCTCGTTAAGCCCGCCCATACTTTTTATAGTAGTTAAGATGGGGCCCCAGGGTGCTGGTGCATATCTTTAAGTTGTGCACTTTGGGGCACAGACAGTCTGATCTCTTTGAGGCCAGCCTGGGTTACAAACTGAGAATCTGCCTTCCCCCAGAAAGGGTGGGACATTTGTAATATTCAGGTGATTACACCGATTTTTCTTCAACAAGAAATCAAAATTAAGCCGGGGAGTGGCGGCACACAGGTCTCTACAACAGCCGCCAGCTTAGAAAAGTGGCTGTGTGGCCTTCTCAGGCTGCCCTGAATGTTAACGCTGGCCGCATCCATCCAAGTCTGAATGCTGACGGCACAGTCAGTATAACCTGGTCACCAAGGAAGGACGGAAAAGTTGAATAAATAAAATATGCAAATTCCCCCAAGGAATTTAAAACATACATTGCTCTCTCATCCACCTGCTTGTTTCCACATTGGGTAGGCTGTCTTCCCTAGGACACACGCTTGGTGCCGTAAATCTGGAGAGTCTTAGGATGACAAACGCTGGGGCCCACCGGTTAAGCTGTCTGGGCACGGGGAGGTGTATTGAAATTGACAGCTCTGGTCCCCAGCCTGAAGCAGTTTGTCCTTTGTCATCCCCAGCCCGGCCTTCTTAGCTGGATATGAGACAAATTCCACTTACAGCATGAAATCCATGTAAAGCACTTAGCCCACTCCTAGCACACAGCAGGCATTCAATAACTGGAAGCCACTCTGTGAATGCGGTCCCCCGGGGGCAGTCTGGAGTCCAGAGGGGAGCTGAATACACGTCCCAATAATTATGACCCAGCATGGGAACTGATTAACCACAAAATGAAACGGGAGTCAGGGGTGGGATCAATGCTCTGCTTCAGTGCTGAGAGAGGAAGTAGCTGGCTTGGGGACAGAAGAGGAAAGACATGGTCTCTAGATGAGCATGAAGGGGGTGTGGGCACACAAATCCAAGGGACCTGCAAAACCCAGGAGGAAAGCCCTTTGGAAACTGGTCATTGAAGGCCTTGAATGACACACTGAAGGACACAAACACTGAAGCTTCTTCTTTATAGACTGGGGACTAACCAACTCTCATTGGTAGTGTCTTGTCTCCCGTGCTCCCCACTCAGCCCCTACAGCTCTATCAGCAGGCCGCTGGCGCACACTTGGCCACTGGGGGAAGGGACACAGAGTATCTTTCAGAGGTGAAGGCCCATCATAAGACCAAGCACCAAGGGCAATTCAAGTGGCCGTGTCCTGTGAAAGCAGGAAAGAAATGCTTGCTTGCTTTTTTGGTGTATACAGACCAAAGGTCCCTCAGGAGCCCAAGCTCACTAGGAAGACTACTCTGGCTGGCCAGTAAAGTCCAGTGACCCTCCTATCTCTGCCTCCTCAGCATTGGGATGACAGGCGCATGCTACCACACCTGGCTCTTAGCCATGGGTGAGGGAGATCGCACGCAGATCCCTGTGTTGGTGTGGCTAACTCTTTATTGACTGAGCCATCGCCCTAGCCCAGGAATGAAGCAGGTTTATCTTCTCTGACACTTAGAAAATCTTGAGGCACACAACTCTATCCTCAGCCTGACTCCAGCTTCCAGGCTCCAGTGAAAGTCAAGGGTCACTCGGCTTAATGGGGTGAAATGCAGCACAAAGTGAGCGGTGTCTCAAGTTTTGCACTGTGACTCCTGCCACCTCTGAGCCGCCCCATGAATAAGCCGCCTACCCAGACAGTGTGTCACCACAGCTGGCTGCATTGCACCTCGCTCGCTCGCTCACTCGCTCGCTCGCTCGCTCACTCACTCACAGGAACCAGTGAAATCACTTTGTCTACTCACCCAGAATTTTACGAGGAAGAAGGCGTTCTGAGGGCCTTTTCCAAACAGTTCCTTCAGGCCACCTTTCTTTTCAGGAAATTTGTCGTATATCTGACGAATGTCCACAGATTCAAGCAACGGGTCACTGTAAGAATGGTTGGCATGCCCGATGTGCACGAAGAGGTGTTTGTTGTACTGCAAGAAACCAATGGGGACACTCCCATTACAAATGTTTTCAGAGAACAGGGCTCACCTGCCTGAACTGGAGAATGGGTGGGAATCTTGAAATGCTACCTCTGGAAAGATACATTAGAACACAGAGGAAAACAACCATTGTCGCCGCCGGGCGAGGCCACGTAGCTTCCAAAAAGCCTCAGGAAGACTTCCCGGGTACACTAAGACATCACAGCAACGTCAACCACCAAACCAAGTTTCACCTGGCTCACCTGACAGTGACATCACACCTGCTGCAGATCCTTATCCGCAGCACAAACCTTGGATGATTACAGCTGCTATCAGGACCACCCACAATGCACTTTCAGTCCCAGCTTTCCAAAGAGGTACTCCCTTCCTTCTGGCAGAAACCAGAGTGCTGAGCCTCTGGGGCTAGCCACCATAGGAAGTCATGTAAAACTTGTGCACGTGGGCAGGTCAACACAGCTGAGTAAAGACTCTCCAAGGCCAAACAGGGACAGTAAGAAAAAAAGCACAGGTCAACTGGGAACAAAGAAATGAAAAGTTTGAATTCTATTCAGTCATTTAGAGTCAAAGGACACTCTCTCTTCCCTTGCTTTGTTATAAGACCTTATTTGGCTTGTTTGTTGTTTTGGAGATAGGGTCTCATGCAGACCAGGCTGAACACACATAGAGTCACCTGCCTCTGCCTCCTAAGGAATGGGATAAAATGTACTGTCACCATACCTGGCTTAAGACTTTGTACATGGAACACAAAGGTGTGTGTCCTGACCCCCAACAATTATTAAGACATCACTAATGCCTGTTCCCCACTCTTACTAAATTGCAACCTCTGAAAATTGAGGCCAGGCATGGGTCACTTTTAAAGTTCCTCAATGAGGTCCAATATGTAGCTGAGTATGACGTTACTATCTAGATCTGCATTCCACACTAAGTCACAGGGCCAAGGAACATCCAGGAGAGCTGGGGCTCCAGAGAAACTCAAGGAATTAAAGGGACACTACATCTCCCCCTCACCAACTATTACCCTGAGTTAGACTGTTATACTTAATATTCAAATTGATGAATGCTTGGCAAAAACTCATAAAGTTTTGCCCATTGGTAAAAAATGTGGAGTCCAGATTCAGCCAGTTCAAGGACAGAGCCCTAGTCAGTGTATGTTATCTCTGACAATGACTCTGCCTCCTTCAGTGTCCAAAATGGCAGCAATGATGGAGTGAATCTCACAGGGTTGTCAGGAGGTTTAAATGACACCATACTTTGAATAGCCAATGAAAAGCAAGCACTCAAAAGCTAGCTGCTGCCATTTTACATGACACTCCTGAGAAGCACAGCGAATACCTGCATATTAAAAGTACTACCACAAAGACGTGGCTTGGGGTCATGTATAATTCAGTTTCATCAACTGGGCTGAGCGGCTATAAACTCTTAAAAAAATATACCCCAAGGAAGTGCTGGCTGCTACCCCGATTGCTATCCAACTGAGGAACTCTGGCCATGACATTGAGAAGCACAAGGATGGACGTCTCATCTGATGCCAGCATCCCATGCATGCAGAATATGACTGGGCAGATATCTTCTTCAGGATGGTCAAACCCTCACTCAGGCAACTTCTGGGCGCTAACTTTACCAAGGCTTCCAAGACTAGTGGATTCCAAGTGAGATGAAAACAGGACCCTACAAAACTTTTCCATACGCTCAACACAGGGACCAGATGCCTGGCAGCTTCGAGCTCAAACTGAGAGCCTCTCTTCTGTGGAAGAAGAGAGTGAGCCTATGCTCCAAGCCCTGTAAAGACCAAGGCAAAGAAAGCCACTGTGCTGTGGCTTGGGGAGGGGACATCTGTGCAAAGGCTGTCACACATTTTAATCTTCATACATATGGGTGTGTCCCTGAGTGTATGTATATACGCCGCATACGTGCCTGATGTCCACAAAGGCCCATGGAGCTGACGCTGCTACAGACAGCTGTAAGCTACTGTGTGGATGCTGGGAACCAAACTCATCCTCTGCAGAAGTAGCAGGGGCTCTTGCCCACTGAGCCATCTCTCCAGTCCCAAAGCCATCTTCTCAACAACAAGACAATAAAAGCCACAGAAAGATGTGAGGTACTGTGAAGGTTAAGGAACTATGAATCTCTAGCCTGAGGTCTGAGAGGCCCCACGTCTGCAGGCTCTGCTGCTTCCTGTAGGTGGTGAGTCATGGCAAAGAATGGAGCACAGCAGGGCCCTGGGGACACAGTGCATGGAAGGCAGGTGTCCTGCCTGAGCTCCCAGCTCTGACCACCCACTGCTGGTCCTCAGGCTAGGGCAGAGTGGCAACAAAGCTAATAGGCTCTGAAGCTCAAAGTTTCCTTGCGCTTGACATTGAAAGGTCAGCACACAAGTGTTGGAGTTCAGACCACTCCTTGTCAAGAAGTCAGGAACAGAGGGGCAAACTCGATCATACTCACAGGGACCAGGAAGGAATGGCCACACTGTGGAACTCTATCCTTTGAGCCCCAGAGCTGTTCCCATCTCCGTGAGGGCAGCTGTGATTGCCCCCTGGGAGAAGGGAGTAGGGAAGGCCACCAGACCCTCACTAGAGATCTAGTCACTCATTCGTTTTCTTCCCCAGCTCTACATAGTAACTTTGCCTCAGCTGTGCGTTGCCTTGGGGAGATAGGACCCCTGTGAGTAGACAGAGCATGGACAGTTAGATGAAAGGGAACCTCACCTATGCAGCTTGGGGCAGTTGCCATTGATACTGAGGTAAGTTCTTTTTAATAATGGTGTGACTCTTTTTTTTTTTTAAATATTTACTTGGGGCAGTTAATATTGATACTGAGATAAGTTCTTTTTTTAATGGTGTGGCTCTTTTTTAAAAAAAAAAATACTTATTTATTATGTATACAATATTCTGTGTGTCTGCCTGCAGGCCAGAAGAGGGCACCAGAGCCCATTACAGATGGTTGTGAGCCACCATGTGGTTGCTGGGAATTGAACTCAGGACCTTTGGAAGAGCAGGCAATGAATGCTCTTAACCGCTGAGCCATCTCTCCAGCCCATGGTGTGGCTCTCTTTTAGGAGGGGGTCAGCCACATCACTGTACACAAGCCCCCACTCCTGATCATAAGGGAACCCAGTGGATTCACTGGTTCCCAAGGGGGACTTGAATGGAATCCTTACTTTGAATTGATGCCTAATCTGGGGTGAGGGGACATTTGTTTTCATCTCCCCAAGACACGGTCACACAAGTTGAAAACCATGGTACCGACTGAGCACAAAGAAGGAACCCTCTGAACTTCCGATGCACACTGGCAGTGCAAGGCTGTGCAACAGAAGAGCCCCAGAGGTAACTACTATAGGCAGAAGGTGCTTGGCATAAAGACTGCCAGACACAGAGCAGTCAATAAACTAGACCACTAATGGTCTGGATTATGGATAATCGCTTCATCCTGGGGTGGGAAAAAAAAAATATCCATCACTCACGAGCTAGGAGCAAGCAGAAGAAGGTGTGTGGCAGGTTTCATGGTCCTCAGAGCCAGCTGCTCAGGGAACTGAACCTCCAGCCTGTGTGGAAGGGAAGACCAGGTCCGGTGTCCCCAGGCTGTCGTGAGTCATGCTTTTCATAAGGATAACTCAGGTCATCCCTGCTGTAGCGGACTTTTTCTCTTTACAGAGGAGGAACAAGGAGCTCAGAGTCACACACTGTTGTCTGAAGTTACACATTCGGGAATAGGCCTGGAGTCAAGAATAAAGCTTGACCATGTGAGGGCCAGGCTTTGGGTCACACAGAGATCACCACTATGTTCCTGAGGAACCACCTATGCCCTCCCAAATGTGCATTCAACTGTTCCTGAAACTGATTTGAGAAGAAAAGCTGGACAGCAGTTCCCAAACTAGAATTAAATTAGAATTCTAGATCAAGTCGCAAGTGCAGTAGACCGAGTCTACAAAGGGTTCTATTTTGAGGATATGACCTCTGTGCCTGAAGGGCTGAAAGGGACAGAGAAGCTGGCACTGTCTTTCCAAGGCCAGGGACGTGAAACCCAAGCCTGGCCAGTGGTGTCTGTGGGCTTTGGTGCCGCCAAGGAGTGACTCTGCTTCTAAGAATACAAAGGCTGGAGAAGGTGCCCTGGAGACCACAGCAGGAAACAAATAGACCTCGCTTTCCCTGCAACTCAACCTGGACAGTTCAGGAGCCCTGGCTACAAACCCAAAGGGCAAAAGGAACAAAGCAACCTGATGTGCTCGGCCCGAGTATAAACAAAATCGAAACTCCAAAGACCACTGGGTGAGGCTATAACTCCTCCCTAAGGGAATGGACGGACACATGTACAAACCAAACCGGTGTAGGAAAACACTTTCAAAAGGAAGTAGCTGTCAAGAAACGATCTGTGACAAAGCCCAGAACTATAATTCTTCAAAACTCAACCTGTTCAGTTGAAAACAATAATTTGTAAACATCAAAAACCAGGTCCAGGGAGATGGCTCTGTGGGTGAAGGCACTCTTGGTTAAATCACTGGAAGGAGAGGAGGAGGAGGGAGGGGGAAAAGTGTAAAGGATGAGGAGAGGACTCCACAAAGCTGTCCTCTGACCACTAAATGCACGCTATGGCACATGCCACACAGAAACCATAAACATAAAAAATTAAAGCAAACAAACATTTGAAGAAGCAAAGTTTCCTAGGCACTTAATAGCTATAAACAGTCCCGCATATACCAAGGGCAACAACAGACACGGTACCCAGTTGACACGCCTATCGCCTACTGTTGTCTACCAGGCACTGAGCAAGGAACACTAAACCCATAAGCAAACACTACAAGCTGTTTTTCTTCAAAGACTCTATGCAGACTGGGGAGGCAGCTTAAGAGATTCTGGTTCTGTGCCCAGAACCATGTTACCCACCTAAGCAAGCACCCTTACACAGACTGATAATCACGAGGACATCGAAGCCAGTCACTCTGCCTCTCCTGCACATCACACTTAAACTGTTCTTGTCATACAATGACTATGTGG